ATGCTGAGGTGGTGTCCCACATGCCACAGCTAGAAGAACCTACAACTAGAATACACAACTGTGTGCCGGGGGTCTTTGGGGAGAAGAAGGAAAAGTAAGATCTTTAAAAAAATAAAAAACAAAAACCTAGAGGAGAGTGACTTTTAAATCAAAGGTGCCTATGATGAGAAATACACCTAAGAAATAATCCTGCTAGCTTTTGTTTTCCCTGATTTTGTGAAGCATTAACTCAAGACCAGTTAATCACTGTTGCATAGTTCTTTACTGACAATGAATCAGACTGAGGCTTCTGATCAGCATATATTTATTTCTCTTTTTTTAGAATAAACTCATTTCATAAGTATGAGCCAGCAGAAAGAAATAAGAGATAAACTCTGGAGAGTCCACAGTCCTCATTGTTAAAGAACACATCTTTCAGGAATAATTGCATGTCAGCAAGTCTCAATATAAACATGAAACAACAATGAAAGCCCAGTAAATCAGGAGGAGGAATAAACATGTCATAAACATGGTGACATTCTGTGACCATCACGTATGTTAACAAATGAGCTCATCGTCCAGCTTGTATAAGCCCTCTCCTTTGGGGGCATGGTGATGAACCAAAGAATCAACAGAAAATACTCCCACAGTGTTTGCTTTTTTAAGTAGGATTATGTGAAAGCAACTGAGAATTACTCCCATTCCCTTACATTGACAATGTTCCAGTTAATGAGAAAATGGATTTTCCCCCCATGGTATTGGGTTTAAGAATCTTCTGTTCTGCGTTAGTAAACCTTGCAAAATATTTTTAACACTTAAGGTCTACATATTGGCCATTTATAAAAAAGCAGATGCAACTGACTCACCTCCTTAGAGTCAAACTCTAAACCATCCTTACCTTGATAACTCGGTTAATCTGAAGTAGCTGAAGAATGAAAATTTACACGTTCTCTACTAAATTAGGATCAATAAAGATCAACAAGTTTGTGTGTCTGAAACTAAATAATAAACAAAATCTCCTCTTTGTCTATCCCACTCAATGCCAGTAACCCCACTGTATCCCACTGTACCCCAATGTGAAGCACACCCTTTGAGGCCCAGGGTTAAGTCCTATCTCCTTCACAAAGCCTCGAAGTTCCTGTTTGCTCTTTAACTGATCTCACCCTTCCCAGGTCTGCCACTGTACTTAGTAGATAAACTTAATAACATAATAGCCTATATTAACGACTCAATAAATACTGAATAAATTCTATGCTACCACTATCAGAATTAATTTAGTCCTCTTTATATTGTAATATTGATATTATATTCTTATTTTCTAGATTAGGAGACTGAGGCTCAGAAGTGAAAAATTGGTGGTAAGTAATAGAGTAAGAATTGGAATCGAGATCTAATTTATACATTCATATTCTTTCTACCATACTATAGCATAACTTGAATTTATTCTGTCAAGTACTATTCTTGAATGATCCTAATAGTGTTGGCTTAACATTTCCAGGACATTACTTGTAAAATTGAATTCTGACGTAAGCAGAGAGCCAAGGAGCAAGGCTGACACTTTAGTTACTGGCTCTCTGTATGTCAGAGAGAGATGCTTTATGTTGTGTTCCCATGGGATCTGACTGACTCTCAGACTGCCTGTGTCTGTGGTGAGGCTTTCTATTTCACAGGGTTTACCAGCTGGTCAATAAAACTTGGAAGAATTTAGACTGGAGAGATTCTCAGCCTGAATTATCGAAAATCCTGAGTTACGGAATTTTTTTCAAAGTCACTGTATTACTTTCAAATACATACAACAATTTAGCCATTTTAAAGCAAGAAACAAACACACACATTTGGAGAAAGGAATCCACAACATCCAGCAATGGTAGATTGAAGAAAGAGGCCAAGAGTAAAGCACTGGGTTAAATTTCGATGAGCTCACATCAGTGTTTTTTATTATATGACTATGGTCTTTCTAGAAAAGTCAGGCATTGTAAGAAGCCCAGATGTGAAACTTAGAATAATAAAACCAAGGAAGAATACATCAGAGATTTGTAAACTTTAGATAATATGGAAATAGTTAAGTATTGGAATCATAGAAACTGTAAGATACAATAAATGTGTTATTTTAAACCACTAAGTTTGTGGCAATTTCTCACTTAGAATAGAAAACTTACATTGACAGAGGAGATACTGAAATAGTTAAAAAGAAAAAACTTAATGCACCCAATAAAGCAGTCTTTTTCAGAACACAGGTGCTAGGCAGAGCTACCTGTCTATTGTTCAAACCCTACAGCCACTTCTTAGTTCAACAAGTAATGCTGCCCTCAGTTCCTTCCTGATACCACGACACGACCACGTTAGTCCAGCATCTCCAGGCCCTAAAGTGTTACTACACAGACCCCCCCTAAGAGCACTGCAGGGAGCATGTTACCTATTGTCCTTTCAAGCCAATGCCCTATTCCCTCTAGGGAGACTCTCACTGTCTTGGCTCTAAGTGGCCCCAATACACATGGCCCAGAACAATCCCAAAGAGCCACTGAAGCCAGGAGGGGAGTTGCTGTGACCCCCCTGTGCATGGGGTTCTATTCTACAACTAAAGAAGTGGGGTGTAGACAAAGGCAGGTTCTTAATTTCTGTATTACATTTAGCATTAAGCTCAGACATGCAGAATAGTGAAGAGACACACGGTATGAGAGAAAAGACAGTGTGGTATCACAAAAAAGAACATCATAAGAAGTCTGAAGTGCTCTGCTAGCAACAGCCCTGCCCATGATGCATCTCACAGACTCCCATAAAATGAGGGGCTTATGACCCTTAAGATGTCTTCCAGTTCTAATACTCTATCATTCTACAGTCTTAAAATAAGAATCTTTAGTTCAATGATTATGCAGGTAACAAGGAGCTTCTATCTTGAAAAGAAAGGTAAACTAAGGCATCAAGAAAACAACTATTTTATCTGCTAAGAGTACTTATTCTCAGTAACAAAGATTAGCACACAGGACTCTGAGTTTTTAGCACACATTGTATTCGCCTACTCTTATAAATGTCAACACCATACATTCAGGTTGCAAAGAAAAGACCATTCAAATCCTCTAAAATAACCTCCAGCTATTATATGTATTCCTTTGTTATTTACTTGAAGTTTAGTGCCCAGAAGTAATAATTTCATGTCCAGTTTCTTATTATAAATATAACTGTGAAATACTGACATTTCACATGCAAGCTATGACTGGCACTAACTTATCCTTATGATCAGCTGGCAAAAAAAAAAAACCAGACATAAATTAAAGTATTATGCTATAAAGCCTACCAAGTAACTAAGATCAAAGAAACGCACATCGTATTTCCAGGCTTCTTCTAGCATATATTAGTACGAAATAGTCAGTGAGGAAAATAACTCTGGCTGAAAGTCCTTTGCTGCCATGTCAGAGAAAAGAGAGCTAACCCATCTACTTTCCATAGTTTCTCTTCTGTCACTAACAGTATTTATCATCCATTGAAAATGGTTAAAGATTTCTACCTAAACTTTTGGACATTCTCTCCCACAGCTTGAAAGTAAAAAGCTTATATTTGGACTGTACATTTCAGTTTCTATTCTCATTCCAGTTTACAGAGAAGTAAAAAATACTATGCTTGCAGCTTACACTGGTATTAAACTGACCCCTGCTGGCCTCATCCTTTCTGTTTCTACATGTATCAGATGCTGTAACAGCTAACTGCACCCTACAGCTGAACCTGCATCTGATCAGACTGCCTTATCAAGAACACGACGTAGGAAAAAGATGGTTAATCCCACCACTGCAAGTGGAAGGAGGCCTTCCTTCCTCAGAGCTTTGGTTATTTTATTTGCAGAGACCTAGCAATTAAAATCACACTTATTCCACAGAAGAGTTTCCTAGAACCTATCGAGTTATTCAAAAATTCATTCATTCAACCAACATTTACAAACTCCTCAAAGACCAGGGAGAAGCAAAGATGCTTAGAGTTACAGCACCTGCCCTCCAGGTACTCACAGGCACTTATGAGTCATTCAAAAAAAAATACATTTGAGAAGTAAATTCTAGAATCTGATTGGACACTACAATGGTGAGAAGCAAGACTACCATAAAGTTGGTGGCATATCCTGCCTCTTGGGACTCAGTTCGCTTGAGATTGTTCACTAAACCAGCCCAGGAAAATCTGATCTCTTCCTTCTTTATGAACCTCCTGTACTTTATGAATAATGGCTGCCATTTATTGATGACTTATTATGTCCCAGGGATTGTGGCTAAGTGCTTTCCAGACACTATCCTATTCACCTCACTTGATAATTCTATGAGATAGGTATTTTTATCCTTATGCCTATTTCACGGATAAGGAAAGCTCTAGTCTAATACTGATCAAATAACTCTATCATGTTTTTCTTTTAAACAGACATTATTCCTCTATAAGTGAGTGAACATCTTAAGCATAGGAGACTATGTCATTATCATCTTCATATCCCCAGAACCTAGCACATTCCCAGTACCTGGTACTCAAAAACTGTCTGCAGAACATATGAATGGAGATATTATTGAGTGAATGTGGCTTCTAAATGCGTACCATGTTCATGATCTGTGCTCAATCACTGAGAAAGTAGCGGAGGAAAAAAGAGAAGAGGGAAAAATTTTGATTCCTGAACACGGACATCCATACTTACAGCAAGAAACAGAAAAGCACCAAGACAGGAGTAAAATGCTGTGGAAATACAGCTTGCCACTAGTTGGTTAAAAACTAAATAGAAAAAGAGTCCTACATCAGAGGATGATGACACACACAGGTGCCAGACCTTATTGGAACCTGAAACCTATTAAAGAGGAGGAAGAAGAGAGAAGGGAGAATTTAGTTAAATTCTAATCTGTTTTTGCAAACACACCTACAAAATCAATGGATCTGACAAATACTTCTGCAAGATATGTACGATGAGAATCCAATTTTGAAGGACCAGATATGTAGATGATACTTATATAGACTATAGCACTAGTCAGTTAAAAACCAAACAGCAAAAGGACTCCTACCTCAGAGGATGATGACACACACAGGTGCCAGACTTCATTGGAACCTGAAACCTATTAAGAGGAGGGAAAAGAAGAGAAGAAAAAGAAGAAAATCACAAAATCACGGAAAGAAAGAAAATCATGAAAACAAATACAATGTAGAGATCCAAAAATTCTGTTACATTCCCCCAAAAGCCAATGTATTTATTTTTCTTTCCCTTACTTCCCTTATTTTTCAACATCTCTTTCCTTGCCATTTCAGACAAATGAAGATAAATGAAGTACAGTAGTTAAACTTCTTTGTTTGGATACAAATGATCTTTTGTATCAACACTATTGTTATGTAAGCACTTTTAATATTGCTTCTAGCAGATGAGACTTCTGCTTCAACATATGTTATGGGGAAAATGATAAAAATGTATTCATGACTAAAATGACTAAACAGTCAACAAAAAATGCCTGGAAAATATTATAAATGAATCTGGTTTTCTGTGGTTGTTAACGAGCAAGGTAAAACTGAAGATCTAATATCTCTCCTCAAACAGGAATGAGTAACTCCAGATTCTCAGGATTATCAATACTTTCTATGTCATCCTCCCCTACAGCAAACCACTGCTGCAAAATCAGTCCTTAAGAGGGACTGGAATTTAACCTCTAATTCCTGCATGTTCCCTGGTACAATAAAAGCATGAGATAGGGGAAATGGAGTTCTTATGCTCAACACTGGTCACCTTAAACCTCTAAAGCTGACTGAGGGAACCTGTAGCCCCATAGAAAATAAAGCAGTGGTCAAGCTTCTGGGCTCTCGATTCAGAACGCCTGAGTTCAGACCGAAGTTCTACAACTGTAATCTTGGGCAAGTCACCTACCTTAAGCAATCAAATATAATAAGATTACCTAGATTGTAAAACCAAGCTATCAGATGCAAAGAGTTTAGCATACTACCTGGAAGACAAGTGTTCAATAAGCATGAGCTATTATCATTATTAAAATCCCTATATGACTTCCATCCTTAAATCTTACTTAGCCTGGACTCTCAATCTGAACAAAGAGATAGGACCTCAGAATAGTGCTCTAGCTAAACTGGGCTTGAAATGTGTTAAATGAGTCCAACTTGCCTTCCTTCTTCCCTTTTCCCTTCATGCCAATAATTAGCACCACAGGAAAGCTTCCTTTGCTTAGACATAAATTAAGCTCCCGTTCACATATACTTGTGTATGTCTTATATGGTAGCTAGAAGTCTCAAATTAACCAACATGGTCCAAATTTCAAATATTCTGCCCCATTGGTCCCTTAACGACACTTGCTTCTGTGAGAGCAGAAAAAATATAACCACCACACCTATAACATCAAAAGCACACGATCATTCGTGCACACAACCGACAGCATGCACAGAAATCTACCAGGATCTCTGCTTGCCGAATCTTTGGAATTTATATCTCCCACTCTTCCAACTATCCAGTCATAAACAAAGACTGCAGCACACTCCAGCTTTCAGACCCCACGACAACTGTGACCTGCACACAACCTTCAGCTCAACCATTTAGAACAATCCAGATTCCAATAATTGATGAAAAAATAACAAAAGGAGGTGTTTACATCAGATTAACGTTCAGTGCTTAAATTTAACACGTCAATATTTAAGTAAAATAGTAAAGCAACTAACAGAAAAATTAAACACTGTATATCACTCTTGAAAAAAGAGTGCATATATTTCTTAGAAATGAAGTCCTGCTAGAGACGCTCCCTCCATGTCACCTGCAGCCTTAAACACGTCTTCAGAGGCAACATCAGGAGTGTTGGTGAACACGCTGCAAACTGGTGTACAGGCCATCAGATGCTGCACGTCAGCAATCCTTCAGCTGTTAGATTAAGATTTCCCAACAGGCGAGGGCTGCAGTACTTCTGCATCGAGCATCTGGTACAGTGTCACAAATGCAGAACAAAGATGCAGCAGGCTCAGGGCTCTTTCAGCTTTTCTTTGACATCTGCAGCATGCAAACACTTATCTTCCAAGGGTCACCTGGTCTACAAGGTGAATTCTCCCAATTGCATGAAACGTGAGCAAAATTTCCATCCTCTGAGGTCTGACTCTAAAGCAAAGCTTCCACCCTACAAAAACCTTAATGAAAGATAATAATAAAACCTTTCCTTCTGGCACTTGCCAGCACTTTTTTTTTTTAAATCTGACAATCACAAATCACCACCATGCCCACATCAATGCCTCTTACAAGCACATATTTTCCAGTCTTGGGAAGTCCAAATTTACTTAAAATTTGCCATACAAATTATTTCCCCAAGTTTCACTCAATGTAAACTTCTGAGTATGACAAGACTGACACAAGTTCTATACTCACATTCTGAGAAAATTAGTGCTTTTTTTTTTTACCAACTCTTATAATGTCTGAAAAAGACTATTTTAGAAATCTGTATGTAGTAATAATTTCCCAATATAACTGCAAATACAGAGATGCTGTTTTCATTCATCTCTGTATACTCAGCACCTAGCACAGGGCCTGGCACATACTAGACACTCAATATTTGTTGCCTCTCAAACACCTGATAATCAGACTTTTTGAATTCCAAATTCAAACAGAAATATTTTCTCCCATTGACCTTTATTATAAAAGTAGAGTTGTATATCTTTGGAAAATATTTGACCCCAAGACATAACTTAATAAAATTACATCTTAAAAAGCAACAATCATTTTAGAACTTATTAACTGATAAAATACTAATAAAGACAATCCTCAAAAGTCTGATATTTAAAGTCCAAAGTCGTTCTGAACTTAAAATATATTTTCTTATATAAATGAATGTTTGAATAATGATTACATCAGATGAGCTAAAGATTTCAAGTTACGGTTTCATTACAAGTTTTAAAACCTCCTGTAGCAAAAGCCCATGCATATAATCACTATTTAAAATGTATTTGGCATTCTATCTGTTTAGTCTGGACACCAGAAGAACTTACCTCCACCTCCACATCCAAATGGGAAGAATGACACAATTTGGTTTAAACTCCAGTTCCATCACTTGCTAAGTGGCTTTGGGCAAGTCATACTAAACCTTTCTTTGCGTCAATTACCACACCTGGAGATAATGACACTAAGGTATGAGAACATTATTTTTTAAATATTTTAACTAGCTTTGCTTTTTGTTTTGCTATACCTGATCCTGCCTCTGTGTTCCAGTGGCATCACTTTGCTTAAGGGATACTTATATTTGCTGAAACAGGAATAGAAAAAAAAACCTCAATGTTCCATTTTGACACCCAGAAATCGTTATTTTAATGATTTTAAGACAACTTTCTTGAAAGCCAAGCTTTGTCAAGGGAAACCGTGATTTCCAAATCCCCTAAACATTGGTGTTAACAATTAGGGATGATGAAGGGGCAAGAACCTCAGCACTGGTGGGGACATGATTGCCTGAGCATAAGTGCACATTAGAATCACCTGGGCAGCCTTTGGGCCATCCCAATGCCTGGCCCCACCCCCAGACATTTTCGTTGTCTGGGTGAGGTACCAGGCATTGGTAATTTTCTTTGAAGAGTCATCAGGTGATTCTGATGTGCAGCCTGGATTCAGAACAACAGCTCTAAGAGAAGCCTCCTATTTGGTTCAACATTGTGGCCAAGACGGAACAGGAAGGAAAATCCAGCATTGAGCTCCCGGCCCCCTACAGACGTGTGTGTACGGTGTGCAGGGGATCCTGAACTTCCCTGAGACCCAGTGGGGTGATATGGAGACACAGACAGGGTGGCTGGAAGTAGACAACTGAGGCCAGGGAGGAGAGGTCACAAGAACAGAAGCCAAGGCCAGGCCAGGCCAGGGACCTGACTAGATAAACCACCTGGGGCAGAAACGAATAAGGACCAGAGGACAGCCGTGCTCCCCGTCACCGTGAGCATGTGAAGGGGAAAATGCAAAGGGTTGAGCATTAACCTGAAAGAAGCTGAGCAACCCAAGAGAAACCATGTAAACTGGAAGAAACAGAGGCACCATGAATTGGCAAGTTTGTCCTTGTCACGCACACTCCTCACCTTACCCCCTCCCCATCTGGGCTGAGGTGGAGGCCTGTGATGAAAAGGAGCTCAGTTACGGAATAGAAAGAAGCCATTTTATTAAAATTATCCAAAACATGAAAAAAAAGGAAAAGGTGAGAGAGCCACATGCCCTCTGAGTCACACCGGGGTACCATTCAACAGGCTTGCCCGAGGTTCATTTAATTCTCTAGAGGAATGGCCCTGAATTTGACTCTGTTATTTACTATTCCAGCAGAGTGCAGACACTGCAGAACTACATGCTAACTTGTAGCCTTCTGTCCAACAGAAAGGAGAAGCCTAAAAAGCTGTGGTTTTCCTGCCTGTTGAACATTACCAGTTTTGTCTCCAACCTAGCAATCTTATTCTAACTTTTCTTTTAATGACTAAACACTGATGGAACCAGCATTTTATAAGATATTTTCTAAGATAATTCAAGTAAAGCGCTTAGCACAGTGCAGAGTACATAGCAAATGCTCGGTAAATGTGTTATTATTCATAGCTGCTAATGGCTAGAGAGGATTTTTACCTGGCCCCTAGCAGTGGTCACAGACTCACCAACAGCGTCCACAATTGAGGGCAACCGAGGTCAGTAGTTACATGCAAGCTTCCCTCACTAGGGAGCATTTGCAAATATTATGAATATAGGGAGGCATTCTGATCAAAATAATTGCAAAACTATCAAAGCAGACGGTGAGATTCACTTGAATATTTATCAAAATAAGTGTGTGGGCCTATGAGGAGAAAACAATCATAACTTGGCCAAATCAAGTACACTGATCTAAAGGAAGCCATCTCCTTGGTGACCAAAAGTATGCTCCTCCAAACTGTAAGGGGGTGTTTGGATGATACGCAAAACTTATGTGGTTAATCCTGGCTATGGAATAAAAAGCAATACAGTCAAGTTAACTATCTTAGCATAAGAACAGAGAGGAAGCTAGTCAAGGGAGGGAGCAACAGCTAACAAGAAAGAGAATATATGGTTAATTTTTTAAATTATAAACTCCATCAGTATGATTCCTCTACAGGA